GGCTCTGAGGAGGCATTTTGGGTGCCAGGGGTCAGGAGCTCTGGTTCTCCCTCCTGGAGGTGCCCACCCTGTGTCCCTCAGGGGCAGTGGCTGCTGCTGGCAGTGTGACAGGGGATATCCAGCTCTGGGAATGCTGCAGACAGGCAATGGCTCCCACCCAGCCCCCTGGAAGATGAAGAGGCTCCCGTTATCCTGAGATGCTTCTGGTACGGCCGGGCACTGCTGACACATGGCCTGGGCACGTGGTGCTGGTGGCAATTTGTGTTTTGTCACCTCTGGGCACGCAGCACTCGTGGCAATTTGTGTTTTGGCATCCCTGGCACGATGGCAGAGCCCCACAGAGAGGTGGCTGCGGTGTGGGCAGGAGGTGAGAGGAGCCAGGGGTGTCCTGTCCAAGGCAGGGTTTGGGGAAGAGCTGCCCCTCAGCCCCTGGGGCTTGGCAAATGTGCCCCTTTGAGCACGGGCATTATGGTGTGTTCAAATAACATTAATAAATACAGCAGCAGCCACAGGGAGAGCTTGGTATTTACTGTAAATTCAGCATCTAAACAGAGACATCGTTTTGTCTTCTACAGTTTAACACCATTCATAATTCCATGTTTTAAGAGACTTCCCCTGGGGCCCGAGATGCCTTTTATATCTGAGGCTATTCCCAATTACCCGCTGTGCCCCTCCAGAGCTGGCTGCTGCTCACACACACACGGAGCTGCTGGGGCTGAGCCACACTGCTGTGCTGTCACCCGGGGCTCTGTTCTCCTGTCCCCTCCACGAGACCCCTGCACTGGTGGGAATTCACCACTGCTGCCCCTGGCTCCTGTGTGTATATAAATAAATATATAAAAATATAAATATTTATAGGTGTGATTCATCACAGAGCCTCTCTCCTCCTTTGAGGGCCTTGGCAGAGCACAGGACTTGTGTCCCCTCTTCTCTCATGTGGGGCCAGCCCCCCAAACCTGCAGCCTCTTGCCCCCCGACTAAAAAACTGTAAAAAATTAATTTAGCCAGCACTGAGCAAATAGTGGCGGGCAGCTGCTGTCATTTATTCCCCACAGGGGTGTGGCCCCGTGGTGCTCCGTGGAAGGAGAAAAGAAACCTGGGGATGAGCCGTGCTGGGCTCAGAGCAGCCAGGTTGGCACCAGCCCTCCCTCCTGGGGCCCAGCTTGGTTTTGAACTGCCAGGGAGGGATTTATTGGGGTCTTTGCCATTTACCTGCTTTTCCTGGAAAATCAGTGAGTGTGCCTGGAATGGGAGGGGGCTGCAGGTCCCAGGGGAGGTCTCAGGAATGAAGTGATCGTGGTTGGTGTCATCTCCTCATCCTGGATCCTTGGTGCTTCCAGCCCCTCTGGGGTGGGGATGCTCTGGGAGAGCCTCACTCCACTGTGGGGCTGCCAGGAGCCTCTGTCCTTGCTGGGGCAGAATTCCCCCTGCTCCCCTGGCTCTCCAGCCCACCACCCTTCCCCCAGCTCCCATCCAGTGCATGGGCCAGGTGCCTGCTCTGCCTCTGTCCCTCTTTTCCTCCTTCCCTGTGCACATCTGGGGGAACCCCCATGGGTTTTACTGGGGGAACCCCTGGACCTGCTCCTGCCCCCCCCATCCCAGCAGTTTTAGGGCTCCATGTGGGAGAAGGAAGGTTTCGCCACCTAATAAATTTAGATTTAATTTGCAAGTGAAAAAGAGCGTTTTCTTTTGTAGCTGATGCTGCAGCCCAAATGTCTGAGCTTCTAGGGTTTAAGTCTAATTAACTGCATTTCACAGCTTATTTAAAGAAAAGAATGGAGGCATTAAAATTGTAAAATCTAATTTTTAAGTAAATCTTTCAGCACAAAATGAATGTCGCAGTCTCCCAGCCGCCTTGGCAATATATCTCTTGTCTTCAAATTTCAACATGAGCTTTTGCAAACATGAAATTATTCATTAGACCGTCTGGTAAAAGGATAAATAAGTGTCGCTTCACATCCAAGATCTCCCAGTTTTCCATTTAGCAAAAGATTGGTTTATTCAGGATTATGCAGAGAGGCCAGTGGGAGACAGGAGGGAAGGGATAACCCAGTGGCCACGTGCTCTGCTTGGACTCTGCTGGGCCTTTGGAGGAGTGGGCAGTGAATGTCTCTGGAATTTTGTCCATTTCCCTGGAATTTTGTCGCCTTTATTTTCCCATTAAAGGCCATTGTCGCTGTCCCACAGCCCTGGCCTTGGCTGACCCCCTCCTCACCATCAAAATGAGCTTCTTCCCGCCCTCCTTAAAAAGGAACGGATTTTATGGAATTGAAACTATTATTTTAACAACTCCGCATTTTTTATGGCTTTTAACAACCCCAGCGATTTGCCTTTGCTTGATTAAAGTCACAATTAACTGTAGGGCATTCCGGGGAAATAACGACCCACACAGGGGCTGGCCTCAACTGAAATACCCCAGAAATGACTGGTGAACTGGGACGTTTCTGTTTTAGCTTCATTTTGCACCAATATCACACAAGTGAAAGCAGAGGAGTGGCTGGAACCTCGTTTCAAGGCAGGGAATTGAAATCCAGGGATCACCATGGGTGCTGAACCCAGCTCATTGCTGCCAGTGCTGCCCTGCTGGGTGCTGAGGGCTCCCTGCAGGGATGGGTCACCCGGAGTGGGGACATGGAGGGCCCTGCAGGGGCGTCTGCCTCCAACTGAGACAGGCCTGGGCTGATCCTGGGAAGCAGAAGCTGATTTTTCCCCAGCCAGGACAGTCCCATCTCATGTCTGTCCATCCCCTGCCTCTGAGCAGGGCAAAATCCTGCCAGGAAGGAGACAGGAGTGGGAGCAGTGCTTTGGGTATCTCCCTGCAGCGCTGTTATTTCTTGTTGGTTTTTAATTCTGAATTACAATGCGTTTCTGCAGGCTCTACTGTATCCCTGGAATCATGCTCTGTGCTAAATCAGTCTGTGGCAATCAATGCTTTTCTAATGAATTCTGAATTCCTGATGTCAGGACATTGTGCTGCTGCTTGTTTTCTCCCTGCCCTTCTTTTTCCTCTGCGTTATTCCTGTGAGCTGCATAACACATATCCCATGTATGTATATATATATATATAGATGTATATATATGCATATATATATATGTATTTTTTTTTTCTCTTCCTCCCCTCTGCAGACCTCATTGGCAAAGTTAATGGTGTGTTTCTGGAGTAATTAGAATGATTTAAATGGCCTCATAACAAAGTTCTTCTGCAGGAGCAGAGGCTTCTCACCCTCTGTATCTGTCACGTCTGGGCTGGGAGTGGTGATGGAGGGAAAATGAGGTGGGAAATGGAGGGGAGCAGCCCCTCAGCCAGGAGATCTGGGTGTGGGCAGGTGGGAATTCCTTATTCTTGGCCGGCAGCTCGGCAGGGTGTGTTTGTACACCTGGAAATCCATGGCAGCGAGGGGGTGGCTGTGTCCCCCTGTCCCTTCCCCTGGAGCTGGCACAGCTGGGGAGCAGTGCTGTGCTCCCTCTCTCCAGACCTGGCTGGGGATCCGTGCGTGGGAGGATCCTTGCCAGCACCAGAAGATTCAGGAATATTGAAGGCTGAGATTTTGGCTGGTTCTGCAACCAGGGGTGTCTTTTGGGGCCATTGCTGCCTCCAGCCGTTTGTTGTCTCCTCCTGCCGAATCCCCGGGAGCAATCCCACTCCTGCTCCGGCCAAAGCCAGCCCAGGCCACCCAAAGGGGTGTGAGGAGGAGCCCATCCCCATGGCTGCTCCCAGCCCCTGCACACCCAACACCTGGATTTTGGCCCCAAGGGATGCTCTTGCCATGGCAACCACTCCTGTGGTCCAGCGGTCCAGCATCCCCTGGGCCGACCAAAGGAGCAGAACCAGAGGCACCCGGGTGTCACCACAGCCCCGGTGTCACCACAGCCCAGTGTCACCACAGCCCAGTGTCACCACAGCCCTGCGTGGCCAGGCCAGGATGGAGTCTGCCTTTGGAGTCTCCTCTTGTGTTCCCAACAGCGCCTCAGAAATTAAGAATCAATCCGATTATTCAAGCCCATAAACAACATCATAAAAATAACATCAATTTGCACAGAAAGGCGCTGCATTAATGCGCCGAAATAATGATGCACTTTTACAACATAAATTTACAATCAATCTTGCTTTTAACACCGTGAAACAACAGTTGGAGGAGGATCAATCCTTCGCCTGAATTAGACGCTTGAGTCAGAGATGCTCCGGGGGTTATTTTTGGAAGCTTTTAGCACCGGCTCTGGCAGGGCTGTCGCTGTCGGCTCCGTGTGCGACAGCGCTCCCGCAGCACCGGGACACCGGGAGGGCACAGCAGGAGCCGAGCCTGCCTTGCCTTTCCTGGATCACCGGGACACCGGGAGGGCACAGCAGGAGCCGAGCCTGCCTTGCCTTTCCCGGATCACCGGGACACCGGGAGGGCAGAGCAGGAGCCGAGCCTGCCTTGCTTTTCCCGGATCACCGGGCTGGGAGCGGGAAGGGGAGCAGGGACATGTGGAGCTGCCAGGAGCAGCCCGGGCTGTGGCAGCTGCGCTCCTGCGGGCTCCAGTCCCCACCCGGGGGTGTGAACACAGGCACCCATCCCTGGGGCAGGGGGGTGAGCGTCTCTGACTCTCCTGGTCCTGCAGACCTGTCCCAGCCTGGGTATTTTGTGTCCCAGGAAAGTGCATGTTCCTGGATAAAGCCAGACAACTGCAACTCTATGTGCCAAAAAACCATCCCTGCCATTTTCCCCAGCTCCTCTGTCCTGGAAAACATCCCGGGAGGCTCAGCACTGATCCCTGCTGCTGCTTCCCACAGCTGCATCCCACCCAGGTAAGTTTTCCAAGTACCTTCCCAGTAAAGGCTCAGACTATCTGGACCCCAGGCCCTCTTGCCACAGCTTTTTAGCACAGCTTTCTATTTTTATTATTTTTACTTATAAATGGGCCCCAAAATGAAATCTCTGCTTATGGAGAGATTGATTAGTGAACCAACTCAATTATGTCTTTAGCCGAGAGCTATATTAAGTAATGCAGCAAAATTATTGCCGTGTGCAGATCCATTTTGTTAAGCAGCTGTTCGCTGGCCCGAGGAGGAGAAGATGGAGGTTAAAATGGTTAAAATGTTTTTATGGTTCTGGAGACACCCAAGGACCCCAGAGGCCGATCCCAAGGGAGGCAAGGGGACAGTGAGCCCAGGCTCCTCGGCTGAGCTGGGATTGCTCCACGAGGGAATCAAGTCCAGCCCTGAGGCCAGGCTGTCCCACTGTGCCCCCTCCAGCTGTGAGCCTCTTGTAATTCCCTGGCTTTTGGTGCCTGCCTGGCTCTGCCATGGCAAAAGCTCCACAAGGCCACAGCTCTGGAAGGGATGGAGCAGCAGAAGGAGAGTCTCTTGTTTCCCTTCCTTGCTGCCATCATCAGCACTGGTGTTCCTTGGCGTGGATTCCTGTCCTGCCCCTCTGCTCCCCGTGCCCACTCTGGACATGCAGTGCTGGGGTTTATGGCAGGCTGCTGTCAGCACACTGTAAATAAGAGCTGGAGACATTTACATCCTCCGTGTGCTGGTTTATAAACAGCGAGGATGGGGAAAGCTCCCGGGGGAGCGGCAGAGCCCGGGCAGGCTCGGGCAGCCCCGGCTTTCCTGTGAAAACATTAACGGCTCCCAGGGAGCCCCAGCAGCTCCGGCAGGATCCTCTCCCTGGTTAAAAGGAAGCTGCACTCATCTTCTGATTCCGAGTGTCTTGTAGAATACAATTAACTTCCACACTGCATTTGTACTTCCCAAACCTAATTTAGTGGTGCAAGGACAAGGGTGTTCCTGCTGAGAACAGAGCAGGTACCTACAAACGCAGGAGGGTCCAGGTCAGGCCTGGGCACAATTAAAGATGTATTCCCTGTGTTCAGGAGCTTTCCTGCACACTGCTCTGCCTGCAGGTGCAATCCCAAATCCTTGGCAGGGACAGGGGAAAGGGCTCCCTGCTCCTGTGAGGAACTTTCTGTGCCAGGCTGGAGGGTTCTCCACAGATGAGGCTGGAGCAGTAAACAGGAAAAGCTTGGTGCCATTCCTAATGCCCTCCAAGAGTGTCCCAGAAAGCATCACGTTATTCACAAGCAGATGCCACCAATGCCCTCCCCTGCACCAGCAGAAGTCACACTGTGAGCTCACGAGCCCCCATTTCCCAGTGTCTGTAGGAAAAGCCAGCTGGATGGGAAAGCCTGATGGCAATGTGGAGCATTTCCCAGGATTTCCTCCCCTCACTGAGCTCCTGGGTGATGATCCTCATCCTCTGGAGGAAGGTAGGGAAGAGGAGCAGCTGTGCTGGAGGGGCTCAGAGGGAGGGATGCCAGGATCTGGCTGCCCTGCTGGTGATGAATGTGAAAAGAGGGATCCATATACCTGCTCTGTAGGATATCTCCCAAGTGACACCTGAATTTGGGAATTTCCTCCCCAGATCTCTCACAGTGCTGGTTTTCCTGAGGTGTGTGGATCCCTGGAGCCAGCCCACCCAAGCCCTGGTGTGCATCCCTCTGGCTCTGCAGGGTGCTGTGGGGGGCCCTCCTTCCAGCCCCTCATAAAGCACCCAAGAGCTCGTTATGACCCGCAGGCTCAGGTGCAATAATGAGTTTTCATTGCCGTGCCATAAACTTTATGGAAGTTATAAAGGAATGGAGCTCCGTGCTGGCACCTGGGAAGTGCAGGGGGGGCTCAGGGCACCCCATGAGTGATTCATGAGGACAGTGGTGGGAATTGGTGCTGAGCAGGGCTTCCCCTGGCTGGGGGGCTCAGGGGCTCTGTGGGGCCGGGAGGGACACGGACACGGATGGGGAGAGTCCCTGAATTAAAGCCCAGCCCTGTCCCAGCTGCACACATGGGTCACACGTTTCATTGACTGTGGCACTGTTCCATCTGTTCCCGCCTGACATTTCGGGTCCTTTCTCCTCCTCAAAGCTTTGCTTTTACGACAGCTCAACTCCCCAGTGGTGGCTTTTTTCTCCCTCTGCCTTTCCAAACCTCCAGAGGATTTCTTTCCCTGCTTATGCTTAAAGCTCATCCTGTTCCAAACCCCTGCCAAGGGCAGGGACACCTTCCACTATCCCAGGTTGCTCCAAGCCCATCCAACCTGGCCTTGGACACTTCCAGGGATGGGGCAGTCACAGATTCTCTGGGCAGCCTCCCTACCCTCTCAGGGAAGAATTCCTTCCCAATCCCGTCTAGCCCTGCCCCCTGGCAGTGGGAAGCCATTCCCTTGTTGAATTCTTGCTGAATCCTTCCCATGAAATCCATCCCAGCCTTGGGAGAAGCTGCCTCGCTGTTCCCGAGGGCCCAGGGGGTGGTGGCAGGCTGTGGCACTGACCTGGTACCCTCAGCATCCCCCGTGGGCAGAGGGACAGCCCCGGCTCAGCAGCACAGCCCCGAGAGCTGCAAAGTGCGCTATTAAATATTTAATTCAGCTTAACGAGTCAATAGAGCCGGTGCTATCGGAGGGTCGGGGGCTCGCTCCCAGCCTGCTCTGATTAACAAAGCACCTGGGCAGGCAGGATCTGCTGATCCAGGGCTGTTACACAGCGCTCAATGCCGCCCGAGAGGCAGCATTAACTGGGAAGCATCGATTTCGACATTAGCCGGCTTTTACATTCGAAAGCAGACGATGCAAGGACCTTCAATTATCTTCAAAGCAACTGAAGGGAAGGAAATTGGTCTTAGATGTGGTAAATAGACTCCACAAACTCTACTGAAGCATGCAAAGATGTACACAAGGGAATTACAGATCCTCGCCTAACTGGCTGGAGTTTACTCAAAAATGTGATTGGAATTCTCCGGATTTCACGGGAGGATGTTTTGGCGCTAATCCGATCAGGGGCTTTGTTAATCTGATTGGGATTATTGCTGCAGGAAGCAATCCCCACCTGGCATTTCCTGAGGGTCAGCCCCTGCGCAGGAGCGCCTGGAAAGAGAGATTTCCTCCCAAAAGAACTCCATGAGTTATTGCCAGTCAACTCACCTGGTTTTATTCTGATACCATATTGGTTGCCTGCATATGTGGGAGCGGATTTTCCCAAGAACACTGAAGCAGCCAGGGAATGTTCCTTTGCTCCTGAATAACTCCTGCATCCCTGCACACTGAAAGTTCTGTCCCAGCTTCTCCGGAGCCTGGTGTCCCCTGCGAGGCAGGGCTCCCCATTCCCGGGGGAATCACTGCACCATGGGGGGATCACCCCGAGCTCCCCTGGCACAGGGATTCCCTGGCACAGGGATTCCCTGGCACAGCTCTCCCTCCGTTTGCCGAGCAGGGATCCCAGCCTGGATCCCGGCTGTGCTGCCTCACCTGCTCACTCAGGGCCTTGTGTAAAGCACATAAAGCTTTTAAAAATAAATTTTTTCCACTCACCCCCCTCTGCCTTTCCGTGGGGATAGCGGCGTGCCCGGCTCCCTTTTTCCCAGGCACTGCTCGGTAAGCGGTGATTAATGCTCCGGAGGGGCAGGGCTCTCCCTGAGAGCCAGCACCGCTCCCCTCTGTGCCAGGCAGGAACAGCAGCAGGAAAACGCTGCTGTTATTGTGCCGAGGCTTCAAGAAGGAAATCCTGTGTAAAATGTTGTTTTTTTGTTGTTTTTTTTCTCCGAGCCTTGGTGGTTTCCTCAGCCCCAAAGGTTGCATCGAGCAAACACACCAGATCTTTCCAAGGAGGATTATTGACTGGGAGTCACACAGCGTGTAAACAGGGCTGGCAGGTTTGATCTGCAGCACAGCCGTGTCAATGCTCCCATTGATCCAAACCGGGCAGCCGAGAGCCCCGAGGAGACGGGGCTGGGTGTGACAGCACGGCTGGCAGGGATGGCACGGCCTGGGCAGGCTGGCACCCCTGTTCCCACGGTGAGGGGACAACTGGCAGGGCTCCGAGGGGCACGGGGGGATGCAGGACCCGCAGTCCGTGTGCTGAGGCACCGCTGCCCAGCCCAGCAGGATTTATCTGCAGCAGGTCAGGCTGGGTTTGCTCTTCCCATTGCTTAGCAACACGGCAGGGCTGGCACAGCGGAGAGGAAGAGGAGAACCACAGGGGGCTGAACGTGGCTTCGGCTGTGCTCGGTCACAGCAGTGCCAGCAGTGTCCTGTCCCCATCCTGGCCTCTGGTGCGGGCTGCTGATGGAGCTGAGCTCTCTGGGAGCCTCAGGCCGTGTTTGTTGCTGTGTTTATTGGGGTCTGTATGCAATGGGTGGTTGATGCTCTGCCGCGGGGTGTGGGCGCTGCTGGGAGCACTTTGGGATATCCTGAGCTGCCTGCTTGGTCGGGGGAGTGCTGGCACCCGGAATGGCTGTCCCAGGTTGGGACAGTCCCCGCTAAGTGTATCCAAACAGCACGAGCACTGTGTGAGGTTGGCCAGCCTGTTCAGGGGCCAGTGGGAATGGTGGCCCATGGCACCCCCTGCACTGGGCACACAAAAGGTGAGGGATGTGATTCCAGCAGCTGAGCCTGGCCTGTCAAGGAAACTTCCCTCGAAACCCTGCTCTCATCAGCTATTTCCAAGGAGCAGGATGGCTCTCGGGTGTGAGTCAGCAGCGGCGGCGGGCTCGGCACCAATGGCATAAACAGAGCCCTGGTGACAGGGGAACGGCAGCGCTGCCGCTCTCCAAGGGACACCGAGGCAAGGAGCTGCCTGGCCGGGAGCCAGGGAGGTTTGAGCAGGGGGATCCGTGCAGGGGGATCCGTGCAGGGGGATCCGTGCAGGGAGATCCGTGCAGGGGGATCCGTGCAGGGGGATTCGTGCAGGGGGATGAGGGGAGGCGGATCCGTGCAGGGGGATCCGTGCAGGGGGATCCGTGCAGGGGGATCCGTGCAGGGGGATCCGTGCAGGAGGATCCGTGCAGGGAGATCCGTGCAGGGGGATCCGTGCAGGGAGATCCGTGCAGGGGGATCCGTGCAGGGGGATCCTTGCAGGGGGATGAGGGGAGGCGGACGGCGGCGGATCCGCGGTTCCGGCGCTGTGAAATCTCTCGTAGCTTTGGATTAAATACGGAGCTCCACAGCGACGAAAAAAGCCAAAACACAACCTGCAGACTCTCGAGCACAACACGGGGGATCTGAAAGCCTCGTTCAGGATTTTATCTCCTCCCGGTATGGCTGCTGGGATGCAATGAAGCGAGGGAGGGCTTGAGCCATCGGTGCCCTGAGCATCCCCCAGCCCAGCCCGGTGGGAGCAGCCCTGGGCAGTGCTGGGCATCACACGGGGCTCCCCAGAGCTCCCTGGAGAATATTTTATATTTCTACCCCCAAGTGATCCCCCCTCACTCTCTAATTACCCTTCTCTAGCCACATTTTCTGTTCTCTGGTAATTAAATCAAGCAGCACAAGGGCAGAAATACCTCGTGAGCTCCACTCTGGCGTTACATCAGCACCCCGAGGCTGCCAATGCCTCCGTTTTCCTGCACAGCCTCCACACCACTCATTGGGAACAGACTGTTTAATCTCATTGCCCATCTCTCGGGGCCTCTGGGACCCTGTGCCCAGGCTGTGCGAGGGGTTGGCTCTGCCCAAGGGTTCCCAGAGCATCTCTGAGTTAATGGGAGCCAAGGGAAGGGCTGGGGGCTCAGTTCCCCTCACCTGGACCTGCAGCCCCGGGCAGGTCACGGTGTGCAGGCTGGCAGCTCCCAGCCCGTGCCGCGGGCGCCTGGCCCGGGTTCTGCTCTGTTTGCCTGGGATGTCCTCCAAACCGCGTCCAGTCACAGGGAATTTTCAGCCTGAACGGTGATTTGGCTCCGTCCTGGAGGTAGCAGAAGGTTTCCCGTGCTGCCGGGGGACTCCAGCAGCTCGGGCAGGGATTGTGGTGTGTGTCCTTTGGGCTGCAGGGTGTCAGCAGGACAGGCGGCCGTGCTGGTGAGAGGGCAGGTGCCAGAGCTGGGAGAAGGATGGGGACAGAGCAGGATAACCAAATTGCTGTGTGTGGGGCAGGCCCGGTGCCCATTCCCAGGGCAGGGATGCTGCATGCCAGCAGCACCCACTCCTGAGACAGCCCTGCCCAAAGAGATGGGCGCTCCTCCCGTCCCAGCTATTTATCTCGGGAGAAACAGAGGAATATTTTGTATCTTTGACAAAGCAGCACTTTACAAGCGGTTGACACTTTATTAACTAATCTCTGATACTTGAGTAATTTATTATGTTTAAGCTGGTGCCATCAAGTCTCTCAGCAGTGTCCGTGTGCGCCGGGAAATAAATTAAAGACTGTCCAGAGATACTTGGCTCATCGCTGTGATTGCTGGGCTGGCGAGATGGAGGGCTAAGGTTCTCTCCTCCTGCAAATTGGAAATTAGGAATTAATAAGATGACAGGCCAGAGAGCCCCGCTGGCTGCGTCTGGCAGAGCTGCTGCTGGGGGACCGGGCACGGCGCTGGCACGGCGGCTCCAGGAGCGGGCACGGGGCTCAGGGCTTGTCCCATCCCGGGCTCCAGGCGGGCTCCAGGGAGCCTCGTGGCCTGGCAGCATTTGCAAGGAGTCAGTGGGGTAATGTGGGTAATTACAGCCCTGTCAGTCCTGGACAGTGTAATGGAAGAGCTGATGCGGGACCTCATTAATAGGAATTTGAAGTAGGCGATACAACAAATGCCAATCAGCACGGGGTGTGGAGCACAGCCCATGCCAGACCGAGGTGGGGTCTTTTGGATTCCATTGCAAGCTTGCCTGAGAGAGGTATCAGTGCTGATGCTTCAGGAAATGGCCCAGCTGAGCTCCAAAGGTTTGGGATGGGGGCTTGGGGTCCCCTCTGGGCTGGGGGCACCGCCTGGGGCAGTTGACAGCTCTTCCCACGGGTGGCACAAGGAGATGGTGAGTGCCCCATCCGCCTGTTTCCACGGCAACGCACAATTCCTGGCTCAGGGAGGAGGGAGCAGCCCTGGCAGGAGCTGCTCTGCTGCCGGCGAGCCTGGGCTGGGGTTGGGTCCTCCTCCACCAGCCCACACGAGTGCTTGGGCACAGTCGGTGGGTAATTAAAACCTGTATCATTAACAAACAACAACTGAAACTTTAATTACTCAGCCTGCGCCTGGGTTTCCCCCTCCCCAAACTGCCCAGCTCAGGGAAAGAAGCAGGAGTAGGGAAGGAGGCTGAGGGCAAAACCTGATTATGTTTATTAAACTAATACAAAAACTTGGTGCTGTAATAGTAATTAAATTAATTTTAAAAGCAATTTGTTTCCAAAAATGGGATTTGACAGCTCACAGGTGCTGCATGGATAGAGTGGGCAGGATGCAGCCCCCAGGCTGACCCTCCATGGTGCCCAGCTCTGTGCTCCAGGGTGTTTGCTCAACTTGTCACACTCCTGGCAGGATGGCTTTTGGGGACAGACACAGAACTCTGTCCTGCCTTTCCCACCTTGGCTTTCCTCTCAAAGGCAGGTGAGCTCTTCTTGCTCTGGAATGCTGAGATTTTTTGTGTGAGACATATGGAGGAAAGAGAAGGGAAAGGCAGAGAAGTCACCAAAGGGATATCTCCACTCCCTTATCACATCCCATTGGATGCCTGCACTCTGTAACCGGCCTGGTGCCAGTCAGGGGACGGTTTGTGACTTTGTTGAAAGTGAAAAATCATCTGCTGAAAGATGAGAAAAGTGCTGGCTTAGAAGTGACACGTTTTTGGCCCAAGCTGCTGGGTCTGGAAAGCTGCTCAGAGGAAGCAGATTGCTTTCAACCAGAAAGGGTTTGATTGAAAACCTTGTTTTCTGTGGGAGGGAAAAAGTTTTGACAAAACGTTTTTATAGGAACCTGGGCTCTGTCTCGCCACTGGCTCTGGAGTCGCTTTCTCCTCTCATTTGAGCACTTCCCCTCAGCAGCTGCTGTGCTGGGGATTTCATTTCGAGGATGCTTGAGCAGCCAGGCAGAGGCTGAGGATGGGGCAGCACTGCTGGGGTGCTGGAGCATGAGGGAGAAGCTGCCCCAGTGTGGTTTCCCCTCGTGTTGCAGAGGGTCTGTGATCGGTACCTGCAGTGGTGCTCCCAAATTGCCTCTGGCTGCCGTGCACAGCAATGGGCTCTGTGTTTCCACAGCCTGCCGGGTTGTATTTTGCCATTTTGCCTCCTTTCGTAAATGATGGAGGTGGCTTCTGCCATGCAAAATAGGTCAGAAGCTGAGCAAAGTGTTTTCCAGGTGCCCTGGATTAGGAAGTGGGAAGCACTGAGCTCTCTCTCCCATCCTGCTCCTTCCTCCAAAGGCATGCTGGCTCCTAACCACTTTTAACCACTGGGTTTGAGCAGCAGATTATAAGTTAAATTATAAGTAATGCTCAGCTCTCACCGGGCTCAGTTTGTCCTGCCAGTGCAGGAAATGCTCCCCCAGCCCAGCTCTGCATCCAGGCCAGTGCAGTCATTAAATCTGCAGGGGGCCAGGCTGCAGCCCTGGGCCTGAAAAATGCATGAGCAGCGTGCTCCTTCCCTGGGAGAGGGGCAGATCAGCCTTCAGCCTCCTC